GGAAAATATAATGTCATTAGATGTAGGGTTAGTAATTTCAACCCAACCACGATTATTAGCAACATTTGTTAAACAATTTGAGATGAGACAGTTGCAAATGGTTTGATTCTCGACCAATACTACACCATCTCGCGTATTGACTGGTAATTTTAATAATTTGGATGAATTAGCCGGGATAATTTCTTCGTAGAGATTCGCGTTACGTGAGTCATACATCTGTATAGGTATTTTTGCACTACGGGTCACTAATAATTTATTCCTAAGGTCTATATTTGAGTTCCAGGTGTCTAACAAGTCAAATCTTAATAACCCATCGAAATAGTTGTGGAATTTGTACACGAATAATGTAATGTCATTTATTTCACCGAATTCCGGGAAACAAGGCAAAGTGATGGAGTAGTCATTCTTACTGGTGGCGTGTACGTTAGTTACTTCAAAAGGGTCGTAGTATAGTGGAATGTGGTTAAAATATTTTTCAACAGCTTCAGGGCTAATGAATGACTGATTGGCACCTGTATCGATTAAAAATTTTAAAGGTGGGTTTGTAGTTTGGATATAACCCAGCTGTCTTTGGATGTGAAAATTAACCTCTATTTTGGCTTTTCTGACCTCGACTCCTTTTGAAAATTTTCGTTTTCATTAGGAGCAGAGTTTTGATTTATTTCCTCTACCGTCGCTGACTCGGAACAGGGAAGCTGTTCCTCGTAATAATCATAAGTCGGGTATTCACAAGTATAATAGTTTGTGTCATAGTCTGGGTAACCACAGTCGTAGTCATAGTAATCATTATTGTCATAGTCAAATTCATTAAAGTTAATTTCCCGCGTTTTAAAGTAATTGTTTGGGGGTGGGTTTCCAAACCTACGCCAGTCGTGTGGGGCTGATGTTGATGGAAGTTGTTTCGGTACATAATGGCTAACACCGCTCATTGGACGGGGACGAATTCCATAATTAAATGATTGCTGTTGCTGAAGTTGAGGCCTGTAGGGCATTTTAAATGCGTTATTTTGCGGGTTATAATTCGGAAGAGGAGCGCGCATCATTTGCTGGGTACGAGTGGGTCCCTGTTGTTGCATTTGAGATGGAAAATTAGGTCTGCAACTTTGAGGTGGTTGAGACTGCATTGGTGGCTGTCGCGATGGACCGGGTAAGTTAAAAATTGGCTGTCTCATTGGTACGCCAAAAGCAGTAGGTTTAGGTACAAAGCTATTAAGGGGTAGATTATAACTATGTTGAGAGGGTGGTTGCCCCTCATCTTTCCTACTTGAACCACCTTCATTGCGCTGCTGCATATATAAAGTATTAAGCTCTTCTTGAACGAACTCTAGAGCTTGTTCCATAGATTCAGGTCGCATACAACGTATCCTGGATCCTAGGGGATCTTTAAGGCCCCGCAAATAAGCTTGTAGCGTCAGTTTTTGATAGAGTTGGCGTTTCGCTTCTATTGTAGTACGGATGGTTTCATGTAAGGACACATACGTCATAATCGTGCTAAATAAGTTCTGGCATCGTTCATAAAATTCCTGCGGGGTGCTTGACCCTTGATTTTGCAGGGAAAGATCACTGTACAACGCGGTCTCGTCACGATGATCCGCAAAGTTATTTATTAGAGCACTCCTAATATTATTCCAATTTTCAGGTAAGCCGTTTGAATTAATCAGACACGCCGCGGGCCCTGTCACTTTATTTAAAATCCCATTAATAAGGGCTAAGTTTGCTAACTCGTGCCCTGGGGTCGTCTCAAAATGTGCTATAACTAGCTGATCGCATAGATTTATAAACCGGGTTAGAACGTGCGGATTCCCGTCGAACTCGGGCACTACTCTAAGCGATTTATAGATCGAGTCAATATTTTCGGAATGAGCCATGGTTTCGTCTAAGTTACGTCTCTCGTCAATTACTCTAAGCCTCCTATTAATACACCTACTATTATTTCGTAACCTAATATTCCGCGATTGTTTCGGATGAAAAATCTTGAACACTTTAATCTAAAAATTACACACACAAAAAAAATCTATCAAATAAAATGCACGATAGTTATAAAATAACGATTTAAAATACAATATAGAATAGGATAAGAATAGGACAGAAAGGACTATGAAAGATTCAGAGTACTTACAACATTTCTTTTGCCGAATCGATGTCTGGATTCCTTCTGCTCCGCAACCACGTAGATTCTGATTCGTCGGTGCCCGTAATCGATTTACGACGTTAATATTCGACGAATCCTACCGACTGCGCCAATTAAGTTAGTTGCAGGCGGAAGTTGCAAAAAAAATCAATTTATTTAATTAATTTTAATAAAGAAAAATTACAATTTAAACTACAACTAAAATGTATGATAGGTGACCGAAGTTAGATCAAGAATGAATTGATATTTGATGCGGCGGGCCGCCTTCCTTTCCTTTGACGTCAATGCCGACACGTTGAATTGGAAGCACGGGGCTGACGCTGCACTGTTGCCTCGTGCCGCACTATTGTATTGGGGTCGAAGCTTATTCGGCGATTCCCTTATGTTGGCCTCGCGTAACACGTGTTAAGCCAAAAGAGATAGCATTACATTGGTCTGTGTCAAATACGGGAATCGAAAATACGTAACGTCATCTTAAATGCCAACCGTGTCCATTTCGCAGTACATGAGGTACATGATACCATTATCAAAGGGAAGTACATCAAAAGTCAAAACAAACGTTTTTCCAAATGTACTATTGAATTATTCGCATGTATTATAATTAAATTGGACAAAAATATTGACAGTGAGAATAATTAGGTATTAATAAAAAAGCGACGCTGCAGCATTAAGGGATGTCACTTTAGAAAAGTGCAAATCAATCGAATGTTACATTGCACAGGCATGTGTTATTTTTTGTCTATAAATCACACAATAGCCCAAATATTTCATGTAATTAGACTTATTAAAGTAGTTATTTATAAATCTTGCCAAATTTTGCTTTTGTTACTTTAGATTGCCTGTTTATTTGTATATTTTGATGACTGTTGTTAACGATTATTTTGAGATAGTGTTGATCTTGTAAGCATACATATTATCGATATTCTGTTATTAAAACAATTCACTACGAGGTTTTTATTGTTTTATTATTTTTTTTTTATTTCAAGTTTTCCTACAAATGAAAAAAAGAAGAAAGAATGGTTGGAAATCATAGGACTGCCGAATACAAACGTTGGATCAAAGACCATCTTCATTTGTTCGCTTCATTTTGAAGAGTAAAATTGTAGCAGAACTTTGAATGTAAGTAGATTACATGACAATACTATTCCATCATTAGGTTTATTGGTAAATAATTTTATGTTCAATTTAGATTCAACAAGACTCATTTACTAGTTATTCTCAGTTCCTGAAAACAATATTATCCACTCGTTTCTGATTTTTCCCAATAACAACACTGACTATTAAAAATGACTATTTTTTTTAAACCCTGCAATACAATGACATGTTAGTTCAACGTTGCCGGGTAAAGGCCAATACCAACGTATAGATAGCCTATTTAACTTGCCTTGCCATCGTTTGGTTTAATAATAATATACCACTCGAGATTAAATTATTAGACTTGTATTTGTTTAGGCATACCTTGGTTACATTAAACTAAAGAAACAAAAAAAAAACAATTTCAACATTCAAGCCATACATTTGCATGTCGATAATGACTTATCGATAGATTATGGTACAATACCAAAGTTATCTGCCATTTGTAACTTTTAAATTTTGGTTATAAGCACGTTGATTCTGTAGTTAGGGCAGCTCCTTTCTTTTATTTTTTTTCCATCCTCTAAGCATTAAGGTTTCATTTTGAAAAAATCGTTCCTCTAATTTTCCATATTTGACGTTAAACACCTGTCAAAACTTGAAGTTACTGAATGAAAACGATGGAGCGATGGTTTCTTGCTGCTGTGAAAATCTAACTCGTTTTTCTTTAGTTCAGGAGGAGTTTGCGGCCTTCGTCTTTTTAGTTCTCTCAGTTCACAGACACGAGGCGAGTTGATGCGAATGACACAATTAGTGGACTATCTTTGCTTATATAAAAACTAAATAAATAATCTAATAATCTAATAATAATAAAATAATATTTTTAACAGACAAGACAACTAATAAAGGAATATAATTTTTGTAGGTATGGGTAATATAGCTTTTTCTGAATTTCGTATCGTAACTATATATCGATATTCGAAATCGGATTTCGAAACTATACATTTTCTGAACTAAATTATATCCATGGATGCAGCCGACGTGCGCGCTGCTTTGGTATGTACATTGTCGTTGCTGATATTCGGAATCAGATTTCGAAACTATAGGTATATTATTGGATATAGCCTGCGCGCGCCCTGATATATTGCTGTTTGATTAAAGCGTATCGTTCGCCATTGGATGGGAATGCGTTACGCTAGAATACAATAACTTCAATAAAAAAAATTAACTTCTCTTCATACAGTATACGATTTCGTAGATGCACAAAAAACGGTTTCGCGAATATTTGATACGAAGCAATATCGGTATATAGTTTGGAAAATACACGATTTCTTGTTGGTATGCACTCGGCAATCGCTCGGTTTCATTCGGCATCGCTATAAAATACCCGATGCGGAGCAATATCGATATATAGTTCCTAAAATACACGATATCGGATACGATATTGCCACAATATGTAGGTTCAATAACTGTATACGATTTGTAACGCCCGTCCCTACCATATAGTATAACCCTAGAGTATAACACAGGTGAACCACAAACAAATTAGAACGAGGTGAACTAATATGGTCGTGCTTAAGGAACTAGTTCTTTAGGTCAGTGTTAAGAATTCATTCGTAACGAAATTTTCAGTTCATGAACTACTCAACCAAACCAAACAGCAGATCTTTCACTTTCATGATTTTTGACAATGATAGATTAAAATTGTGAGGTAACCTACAAAATATTAATTAATAAAAACGTAGAAAACACTAAACAGTTTTCTACAAAATAGCCCGATATAGTGTTAAACAACATGACTATCGTGTCGAAGTTTTTACCACTTTCAATTCAAGCCAAGAAAAGTGTTTGTTTACTTCCTTCTGCTTTGCAAACTGTTATATATAGACATGATAGACATTATTCATCTGCTAAAGAGCGTGGCTTATCTCAAACTCGGGCATCGGAAGATCGGAGTGACATTTCCACAGACGTCCGCCCTTTAGGAGAAAAAGTGAAGGAAGCGACGAAAACTGCGTCTTATACTGGTGTTATTTTGGTCGGTCTAGGCGTCACCGGCATTATTTTCTATTATGTATTCAGAGAATTATTTTCTAGCAACAGTCCTAATAGCATCTATTCTGAAGCTTTGGAGAAATGCAAAAATGTAAGTTAATATACTATTTTGAAAAAAAAATTGTGTATTTGTACTTGGCAAATGCATTTTGCTTTTGTGTCTTTCTTTTCTATATTTATAGGACCCTCGAGTGGTAGATGCCCTGGGTTCTCCGATCAAAGGTTATGGTGAAGAAACCACACGAAGACGCCGCACTCATGTTAGCCATGCAGTCTATGAAAAGGATGGAATTACACATATGAGAATGAGGTTCTACATCAAAGGAATTAGGAACAAAGGCATCGTTGAATTGGACATGAAAAAGGTAAGTGTTTTATAGATATAATATCATTAGCATTAAAAGTGTATTGATGAGGCGAAAGATGTGTCAGGATCATAGCAAGTGGAATGCTGTAGTCTCTGCCTACTAAATAGAATATGGGAGTGAGGTGTATCATCAGCTAAACTTGAAAACCTCAGTTTTTGAACACTGATCCCATTTTTTGCTCTTCCATCACAATATCAGTAAATTAAGCTTATAATTTCTAGACACAAAGATTTAAACTGAAGTTATAATCTTTTGTTATTTAAAATAAATTCCTTAATTCTGATTTATATTCAAAAGTTCACATTAATGGAGGAATGTATTACTATGGTATGGCGTAATGGGCAGATTTCTGCAAATCAATGCCGTTGCACCTATTTAATATGACTATTTTCACATAACATTGGTAATATTGGCTGCAATATAAAAAAAAATATAAATGTTAATTTTGTTACAGAATGACTATGGCACGTATATGTGTCGTTACCTACTAGTGCAGCTAGATGACTACACTGGACAAACATTCATCATTGAAGACAACAGAGCAGAATTAGACTACACAACCAAGTCTGACAGGGGTGGGCACCTGCCTATGCTCACTTTATCTTAGGAACTTTGGAAAAGTTATGTTTTCATCCATATTCAGTCATGTGCAGTGTAAATTGTTTAGATAAGTAGTAATTTTATTAACAAATGAATTAAAATTAATAAGAAAATACTATCATAGGATGTTTTATTACAAGTTCAAACTGCAGGATACACAATTCAATCCAGTAGGGCTAGCACAACAGGGCGCCACTAGCGCGAAAGCGTCATAAAGCGCGAGATCCTGCTATTCTCGCATAGAGATCTCGCGCTGTATGTCGCTCTCGCGCAAGTCGCGCCTTATCGTGCTAGAGGAAGGTATAAAATAAAACTAATCTTTGGTATACTTAGGAACTAAAAATCATTTAAGAACCAGAAAGAATTTGTACTTCATAATATTATGTATAGTTGCTGATTTCAGCTTGATACTTCAATGTTAGACTTTTTAATTCTTCAATGTTTTTTGGATGGGATCACTTCCCAGGCCATAACAAGTCTATTATGAAAAACAAATCTCTTGATTTTGTTGAATAACCAGTGGAAGATCACAACAATGGAGAGGTATTGGGGCCATGCCCATTTTAATTCTTGTAAAAGACTTGGTTTGTACAAAATGTGCATTTCTGGCACTCTCAAACGAGTTTGTAGGAACATTGAGCCAGTATGACCATTTTGACTTCTTGAATGTATTGTCTTGGATTCAGTAGTAACTGAAAAAAGTTAAATATTATTTATGTATCCAATTATTTTTAGGGTAAGATTCAGTTTGGGAGGAAAATATCAAACTTATTTTGTATACTACATCTGTCCTCACATAAGTAACTAAGGCTGCTACTAGATGGACTGTATAAGCGAAGTTGACATAGTCGAAATTAACTGCATGCAGTCAACACTGACAACAAGCAATTATCTGTGAATGCCTAGCTCAGGAGCTCAGTGTATTTGTTGACGTCGAAATGGAAGCACACAATTATGTTACTTGTAGCTTGTCACTGTATACAGAACATATGATTCTAAATGTTGACTTGACTATTTATCAATGAAATATATTACTATCGAAATTGACCATTTTAATTTGTCAACAAATTAATCCCCAATTTACTCTGCGGTGGAATTGAAAACATTTATGTTATGAAAACATTTTTAAATTTATTGTGCAAATATGAAATAATTTGCCAAAGTTTGAACAATAGTGTTTTTGTTTTAAGTAGTTATGTTGATTAAACCTTCAAATAAACATTAGTAAGTCGAAGTCATGACTGCATGCAGATGATCACAACTGCACACATTAACTGCAGACATGCAGCGATCTATTCACAGCTTTTGGTTTTTAAGTAGTTGTATATCAATTAGTATGATCCATGTCTAAAAATATGACTCCATTTGCTGGTATAGAAGCACTTCTCATGTTCTAGTTTCTAACAGTTTTTTAACTAAAATAAACTGTACTTACTCAATGAAATGTATCAAGGATCCTTACCTTCTCGGCTGTAATATTGCTCCAAAATAGAATCTACAATGTTATCACCATTCTTTTTCAATTCATCAAATAGGGATTTGTTGTACTTAGTATCCATGTGATAATTTAAACATGGAAGGTGAGCAATTTGGTACAGTTGTAAATCACCATAGTATTTTAGTCCTGATGGAGGTACAGGAAATTGTTCAGTAATTACTGCTAAACTTTGCATGTGAAGTGGACAGACAGACTGTTAAAGAAAAAATGTATATTAAAAAATATCTCAATACGAAAAACATCTAGAAGAATTTAAGACTTACACAAAACGATTTAAGCGCATTATTCAGCTAACTAAAAAAGCGCAAAATAATTATTTTATTAAAAATTCAATAAATAAGTCAAAGGCAACGTGGCAAATAATAAATAAAAGTAACGCTAAAATACCCAAAATACATAGTGACAAAATATATCATAATGGACAAATTTTAACAGATCCAACTGAAATTGCCAACGCTTTTAACGACTTTTACATTGATCAAGCACAAGAAACAAATTTCAATAATGATTCAGCTGCCAGTACAAGCACTAAAATACCGTATACTTGTAAATCTATGTTTATGATACCAACAACTGAGAAGGAAATTCAGCAAATTATAAAGGATTTAAAGAATACAAAGAGTACAGGCTACGATGAAATAAACACGACAGTTCTTAAGCATGTGTCCGAATATATATCTCCAATATTGTCATACTTAATCAATATTTCAGTGGAGTATGGAATATTTCCGGAAGAACTGAAAATATCTATCGTAAAACCTTTATATAAAAAAGATAATAAAGAAAACATTAATAATTACCGACCTGTATCTCTCATTTCAATTCTGGCTAAGGTTTACGAGAAAGTCATTTATAAAAATATGCTCTCGTACTTAGAAACAAATAAAATTCTTATAAAAAATCAAAAGGGCTTTAGAAAGGGTCAATCAATGAACTTAGCCATTTATGAGTTACTGTTAATAGTTCTAAAAGCAATGGACAAAAGCAAACCAGTCATAGCATTATATATGGACTTAACAAAGGCCTTTGATTTTGTCAATCATAATATTTTGCTCGATAAACTGTTTAGATATGGGATCAGGGGAAATGTACATGAACTAATAGAATCGTATTTGACTAATCGAAAACAAATGACATGCATTAATAAAATATCGAATGAAACCAAAACTGACATATCGTATTTTTCTGCATCTAGAACAGTTCTACATGGAATTCCACAAGGATCAGTACTGGGTCCATTGCTGTTTTTAATTTATATTAATGACTTTCCAACAGCAACGTCATATCCCATGCTTATGTTTGCGGATGATAGTACTGTAATTTTTGACATTGAGCGTCACATTTCATTTGACCAAGAAATCAATAACGACATTATAAATATAATAAAATGGTTACAAAGCAATAGACTTCAAATTAATTTAAGTAAAACTGTGTACATTAATTTTAAACACAAAATTAACAAGACTCAAGAGGACCACGATATAAAATATCTTGATACAGAAATTAAGGAGGTAGTGGACACAAAATTTTTAGGGGTGTATATTGATAATAATATGACATGGACAAAACATATAGAGATATTGTGTATGAAACTTCATAGATTTGCCTACGCCTTGTGGAGGCTAGCTAAAGTGGTAGACAAAGAGGCATTACTAGTAACCTACCATGGATATGTCGCCTCAATTATAAGGTACGGTATCATATTTTGGGGTAATGCCAAAGATAGTCTGGCTGTATTAATCGCACAAAAGAGATGTGTGCGAGCCATTTGTGGTTTGAAGAGAATGGATAGTTGTGTGCCACATTTTAAGGAACTAGGTTTGCTGACGGTTCCTTCAATGTATATATTTGAAGCAGTCCTCTTCGTCCGGAAAAATCCCACACTCTTTGCCAAAGTAGATAGTACGCGTCGTCATTTAAATATTCAATTAGTAACACGCAAGACAGAATTATATAATAAAAATATCTGTGCGATGGCGCCAAGATTGTACAATAAACTTCCGAAAAGTATTCGAGCAATAGGTGACATTACCGGTTTTAAAAAACGTTTACATAATTTGTTAATATCAAAGGCATATTATACAGTAAACGATTTCATGAATGATAGGGATTTGAGATTCTAAAAATGACATTGAATATTATTTTAGAATTAGGATTAGTGATAGGGACTTATAATGTAATAATAATAATTTTGTAAAATTTGTAATAATAATAATGGTTTTCTAATGTAATGTAAATTTAAGACTTGTTATAAAATGTAAAAAATTCGTACGCCTAAGGGCAATGCACACTGATACACTTTAGTTGTAAGATCTTTATGGACGTGTGTACACGAATAAATGATTTTGATTTTGATTTTGATTTTGAAAACAAAGCTGAAAATATACAACATTATATAAAAATGAATTACCTTTACTTGAAAATCCAATGCCAGTATTATTGTAACGGAAGCTACAGTCCTTTCTGAAGGGATGTTTAATCGAAATTTTAAGTCAATTATATCATTTTTTCCATCCTGATTGTAATCATAGCACTGTACCTGTAAGGCAGTAAAAGAATATACTTAATGTTAATGACCGTTTCATAAAACTATCATTTAAGTATTTGGATTTACTAAACAAAAAGGCTGTTAAAGAAATAAAAAAAAACTGATCGAAAACAAAATTATTAGGATGCCTACACAATTTAGATTATTAGGAAGGTTTATTCAGTGCACATATACAATAATGCATTTAGGGTGCTGTTGGGGCTGCCTTGCATCAGCAGTGCATTGGGGATGTTTGCTGAAGCGCGCGTAGATTGTTTCTATGCTATCATGCGCAAGTGGTGCACATCACTGGAGTGCAGGGTGCGGGTCAGTCGCAACAGTATCCTAAAGACATTTACTGAACATTTTATTATTATTTATTTTAATTCTGTACAAAATTTTATTTTTCACTTTAATTGTATTAAATCTTTGTAATGTTATGATGCATGTTGATCGAAATAAATGATTTATTATTATTATATCGTCGGTAAAAGGCGTGTATCTGCAGTAAACCAACTTCTACCCAAAAGGGATTTAGTGTTATTACTTTGATATTTCAATGGCCATGACTTTAATTTTTGCACAGTAAGCATTAATTTATGTTGTCTATGGACATAACAATATATTCCCGTAAATCACGCAAACTTGGTTGCCGCGATATTTACGCGGATTTGATTTTTCCACTAAATTACCATAATAGAAACTCATAATCCAATGCCAGTTATGCGCAATTGCACTATCCCCGACGATATAGCCATACGTCACAGCGACCACAAACATCAATAGATTTAAAAACTAGGATTGTCTTAGCTTCAAAAAAAAAACAATCTCTTCTGGTTTGCCCATGAGTGAGTTGGTAATAAATTATCCCATTCTGCTTGCTCCCATTTCTTGCTCCTCAAGACCATTGTCGATCGATCGAACGAGGTGAAAGCTGTATAGACTATGAATACAAGACTATTCAAGTTTTTTAATAATTATTTCCTTTACCTGGATTTCAGCACAGTTTTCTTCACTATTACCTTCTTCTTCTAAAACAGCTGCTTCACCACAGACTACAGGGTGGCTTGGGTCTTCAGTCTCAGCGAAAAGTAAATATTCGTATGTAAAATGAACTTTTGGCTGCTCATAGAAGACGTGAGATTTCAACCAAAAACCTGAAAGTTATTATACGCTTAAGGTAAATACAGGTTAGGTACAAAACGATCGCACATTTTCTTAGTAATTCGTCATTTACCTCGGCTCCTGTAAGCTAAAACAAAGGGTAAAATTATAGTTAATACCGTGGTCAATATCGTAAACAACATGGCCTTTGATAGAAAATAACTTTTATACTGTACTTCTAAGTTGCAACTAAACAATTTATATAAGCCCATCTTCATAATTTCGTAGTACTATTAAATCTAAATAATTTCAATTGAGACTATTGGAAAAGTAGGTATGTACAGAAAGTAACAGCTTTTTTCGAAATTGATAATTATAACACATGACATTGACGTTAGTGGGCAACAAAAGCGTTGCTAGGCAACGATGTTTTTTTTATTAATTTTTCACGGATAGCATTGAAGCCAGCGAGCTCTACGACAATTTAGTAAAATTATTTTTATTTTAACCTCTGAACTCTTTTTAAATTACTGAGATTTTAGATTATGAAAGAAATGACTCAAAATCTAAATTTTATAAGAAAATACTCCTCTAAAGTAAGTAAATGAGTAGATATTTTTTTATATGCTTAAAAGGGTCGGTCCCATAAAACGTGTTAGTTTTTATATTTTTTTATGCTGCTTAACAGCAGAAAACAAAAAAAAATAACAGCATATATAGTCTAAACTTGATGTAATGTGAGTATTTTTCAAAGCAATGATCAAAATAGGTATTTTGTTATTTTCATAAATACTCATAAATGTATTAAAGTGGGAAAAGAACAATTCAGTGCCTAAGTATTTATTGGCATTCAATATATATTTTAAAAGAAATAGCAGTCACTGACATCGAATCAGATAATTTAATACAAGCAAGTTGTTAGCCTTTTCACAAGACACGGTCCTAAGACAAAAGAACTGAAAGTGCGTACAGTAGCTAAGCGATATCGGATTACGTTTTGTGTAGAACGAACAATAGGAGAGGGCATTGTGCGTATTAAAAGTTTTAAATAACTACCTAGTTATAAAAAAGTTGTACAGTCGACAAAATAAGTTATATGAATCTTTTGTATTTTAGTGGCCACGATGTCAGTGAATATGCATGTAGAATGTTAGTGACATGATATTAAAATACAGGTATAAGTAGTTAAGTGTCTACCAGATCTAAATTTCAAGTGTTTTAAGTATTTATTTTCTATTTTAGAGAGTCAATGGCACTGTTGGATCTTTATAATTTTGTAACCCAGTAAGTATTAAGGTGAATGGGGGATTAGCGTATTTATTTCTAACATTACAAATTAACTGCGCGTATAGACATAAATATAGAAAGTTAAGGTATTTATTTAGGATATAATAATAATCTATTTTGCAAAAAAATAAAATTAAAAAATATTTTATAATAGGTCGTGCACCCTAGTATAATAGGCTAATTAGAAATACCTACGGGAACATGATTACTTTATATTACGCACAATGCGTTTATATTTACGCAAACAGAGGTGTGGTCGCTAGTCAGCGAACACGAACAATAGTCCTAGAAACCGGCGCCTGCGACGACAACTGACACCTTAACGGTGAATGATCCCTTGCGCACAGGTCGTAATATAAAGCCCTGGAGTTCATTTGTTGCCAGCATTCGCTCTGGTCTCTAACCGGGGCACAGTGCGGTCCTGTATTGGGACACAGGGATTTTTATCACAAGTTTAGCTCTTCCGCCAAGATGTCCATGGTCCGAAGATCTAGCATGGACAGAATGTCCTCGAGCATGACGTCTAGTATGACGGGAATGGGTCTTGGCGGAATAACTGGATTGACATCGGGAATGAGCACTCTAAGCTGCATGAGGGAGCAACATGTGACCATCGGCGGCATGCCATCGAATTACGTGCCTGGACTGTCGGCTTACTACAACATATCGAGCTTTTGTCAACGTCCAGGGCAACCTCGCCGCTGGGCGATGCAACGAGCTGGACCTACGGCGCAGCATCGTCCAGGACGCTCTCACAGCATGGGTTGTTTGCATCGCATGAAGTATTCTTCAAGAAACAGTCCCAATACGCAGTACACTCATAACTTAATCTGCAAGTTGGCCGACCAGAATGAACGTCGTCGTCGTCAGGACACTCTGGAAATGCTTCCGCAAAGTTATTATTCCCAGCAACCCTTAAAAGTAGAACTGACTGAATTTTATTCAAGAGACAATTCTAGAGAGCATCATACTGAGCAATACGATCTCGTAAATGATAACATTTTACCAAATCCAGTGTTAAGAAGAGGTCAAAATTTCTTCTTTGCTGTCCGATTTGATAGAACTTTTGACAAGCAGCAAGACATGATTCGCTTGGTATTTTGCTTCGGTAAGTTCTCTTATTCGATATTTAATTTTATTATATATTAAAATTGATTATTTGATGGATATTTGTAATTATAACGATAATCACATTTATTTTACAGGATCTAAGCCTAGTGTCACTAAAGGAACTCGTGTAGTTTTGCCAGTTAATTGGAGTACCCAACAAGGAATGTACCCACATTCCCGGGAAATGATCGGCATTGGAACAGGGATGGGTATAGGTTCCACAGTAAGTTCGGGGTTGGGGATGGCGATGGGTATGGGTATGGGAATGGGAATGGGCATGGGACTGTCACGTATACAAGATAATACTACTGGAACTATGGGAACAATGTCTTCAATGGGTCCGATGAGTGGTTTGCGGGAAACTAATACGTATGGGGCTCGTCGCGGTTCATTTAGCAATGATCCTGTGCCATTACAGCACAGCCCACTGAGTCCTCACGGTCCTATGGACCGGCCCATGATGGATCGTTATGCAGGAAGCACTCAACATTCATCCTTTGGTCGGCCTGGTTACGGTTCACGCCACGGTTCACGTCATGGATCAATGCAGAATTTAGCTAACCTTGCACATGATATGGATAGATGGGACATCAGTATCCAGCGTCAAGATGGAAACACTATTACATTCCAAGTACATATACCAGCTACTGCGCCTGTGGGCGTGTGGAATTGCTGGGTGCAGACGAATCGCTTTGGTCAACGTGACAACCGACACGACTACAAATGTGACGAAGATATTTACATTCTCTTTAACCCGTGGTGTCGAGAGGATCCCGTCTATATGGACAATGAATCGTTTAGAAGAGAATATGTTCTCAATGAGCAAGGAAAAATTTGGTGTGGTACTTGGCGACAACCTAAAGGTCGTAAATGGATTTACGGCCAGTTTGATGATTGCGTTCTACCCGCTTGCATGTATTTGCTCGAACGCAGTGGTTTGGAGCATTCAGAAAGAGGCAACCCTGTCCGTGTTTGCCGCGCTATCTCTTCTATGGTAAAATATTTAAATTAATATGACTCATTGCGAATGATTTATATAGATTTCTCTATGTATTGTTTTGTTTGGATTTTTGTTTTAGATAAACGCGAATCATGATGACGACGGTTTGATGGTTGGCCGTTATGATGGAGAGTACAAGGACGGTGTAGCTCCACATGCTTGGACAGGATCTGTTGCCATCCTAGAACGTTACTTAACCGAAGGTGGTAGACCTGTGGAATACGGACAATGTTGGGTGTTTTCAGGGCTTGTCACAACAATTTGCAGAGCTCTCGGTATTCCTTGTCGTTCAGTCACTAATTACGTATCAGCTCACGATACAAACCGCACGTTTACTGTCGACAAGTTCTTCGACCATGATGGCAACGAAGTACCCAACGGACCTGATGAAGATTGTTATGATTCCTGCTGGAACTTCCACGTTTGGAACGATGTTTGGATGCAACGTCCTGATCTACCACAAGGTAACGGCATCTTTTCCTTGTTTTACTCCTAAGTAATATTAGTCTTATACTACTAACGTTATCACTACAGGATACAGTGGCTGGCAGATAATTGACTCCACGCCACAAGAGGAAGCCGAAGCGGTGTATCATTGCGGTCCTGCTAGCGTTGAAGCCGTGCGACGTGGCGAAGTTGGCTTCCAATATGACACACCATTTATGTACGGGCAGATTAATTCTGAACTGTGCCACTTCCAGGAAGAAGAAAATTCAGAATGGGGTTTTATTCGAATGGCGTCGAACAATTACCAGTAAGTATGTTTAAATCAACTACAATGCAGTGAGTTAGTGCCTGCCGTTAACGTTGAAATGTTTTTATAGAGTGGGTCGCAAAATCCTTACCAAGAATCCAAATCGTGACGATGAAGAGGGAGAAAGTGACATGTTGGAAATCACCCACGAATATAAGACCATGGATAGTTCTTCTCCTGAGCGTTGGGCTGTAATTGCTTCCTGCCGAGGTTACCAGCGTCTGCAGCAATACTACGAATATCCTGATCGCAATTACGAGGATGTCTATTTTGAACTTATGGACATCGATTTGGTACCTTACGGCCAGCCTTTTGATTGCACAATGAACATACAGGTGCGTCTACAAATACTTTGCAAAAAGTTATTGATTCTTGTATTGCACATTTTTTTTTTGTTGCCCAGAATAAATCCAATGAAGATCGCGCAATATGGTGCGTGTTGACCGCTTCGTCCTGCTACTACACTGGCGCAATAGCGTCGAGACTACGCAGGGCTCAGGGTGAATTCATTGTGCGAGCCGGCCAGCGTGAGGTTCTCAAACTGCATATTACTCCTCAAGAGTATATGGATAAAATGGTAGATCACACAATGGTGAAGGTACACGCAATGGCGTACGTTAAGCAGACACGTCAGGCCTGGTCAGACGAGGATGACTTCCCATTACATAAACCCAGGATGCAAGTGCAGGTAAGAATTGTATTGCTTTTCACTTTGACTGCCATTGCGATTCAGACGAAATTTATTCACAATGTTAGTAGTACCTAATAACACAAACCATGTATTATTCCCAGGTGAGAGGCCAGCCAAGTATTGGTCAAGAATGTCCAGTTACATTCAGTTTCCAGAATCCTTTGAACGTTTATCTGACTGACTGCTACTTCACTTTTGAAGGAAATGGTGTACAGAGACCAAGACAGGTGTGTTTATTTTATTGTTCTACGAATTCGTGTATTTTGTAGTATAGTTGCTAATTGTGTGATTTGGTTTGTAGATAAGATTCCGTGACGTGAAGCCGGGCGAGTTTGTTACTTACCAAGACAAATTCATATCGCGCCGGCACGGCGAGCGGCGTATCGTCGTTACTTTCTGGTCACGGCAGCTGGATGAGATCTTTGGCACCTGTATGGTGAATGTTCGTGGCTAGCTAGCCCCCGGCCCCCGCGCGGTCTCTCCGCGTACCTCCCCGGGGCCGACTTCACCTCAGGCACTGCAACTGGACCGATCGTTTGTCTCATATGTTGCGCCAGATCAACAATTGTATGTTAAAGAAGAGGAAGTGGTGGTTTTGAAGACTATATAAATTTAGTGCGATGATTACGCGATCATTTACCTAAATAACAAGTTTGCCTGCTGCATGCGCAAATATTGTTTAATATTCGTATTATGTACTTGGATTTTTAACGATGACTTGGCAATTTAAAGGGATAACGTTACTTATAATGACCATGATTTTTAAGCACCTGCACCAATGAAACATAAAAACCCAAAAACATATTTTTCATTATTCATCACAGTTTTCATTAATGTGTGTTAACTTAATATTTTATGTATTTCTTTTCAAAACTGCCAGTAACGGAAGAGACGAGGGGAACCGTAATGCTTGATGTGCCATAATGTTTTTATGTAATTTTATGTCTCCATATAATTGAGACTAGCTTTTAAGAAACTAGCTAAGACAGTTTTTTAATGTTATTTATAAACAATTATCTACATTTTAAAACGTATTAAAAAAGAAAACAAAAAAAAAACGAAATATAATATAATTGCACTCTGTTTGTGTTTTTGGGATCTCAAAAATAAAAGGCATTCGTTGCAAATTTTCTATATATTTTATTTATTGCCTTGGTATCTTTAACATCGCTTTATGTCTTCAATTACTCAGTCGTGTAACAAGCTACTGAAAATCTAAATATGCTCTGTGTACTATTACGATACGTGACTTGGCTGCCTTACCTGAGTTACAGGTATATTAATTCCCAGGCATGTAGAACTGCTTCTAAATTCTTTTCATAAGGTTGAGATCATTCATGAAACTTCATTCTCCAAACTCAAATTAATCAGAAGAAATGAACATATAATTCGCGCCCTTGATGTAATAAGTTCATATCTGCAAAACGGCAACTTTTCAGGAGACGAAATTAGTACCCATTTTCGGTTTTTTTTTAACTCTTTTTATGCATAAATAGGAGAGTTATAAAATTTGATATAAATACATCGAACCACATGAAACAAATTATGTATAAATTGTTTCATGGCATTCATGTGATAAGCAATTTTGATGTAAAATCACGTGTGGCTTCAGTAAACGAATTATATCGATGCTGGAAAAGTAAAACGAAGTAACGTGCATTTGGAAAATATTACAGGAGAACGATTTAAAGTAATTCTTAAATTTATTTGTTATATGGAAAAGCCGAAACTCGTTAGTAGTAGCTGAGTCCAGTTTTTCATATAACAAACAAAATTAGAGTTATGATTTTTTTCTTAAAAAAGAACACTCTAAATCGCACTCCAACTGCACGTTATACGTTTTACCTTTCCAGCATCGTGTACATATGTACATCTAAGCATTTTCCTCTAATATTAATCACCATGAATCGACTTTCAAGACAATATAACCTCCTGCAGAAGCAGGGTGATTGTGTCATCGACATTTTTTCGAATAGTCCTGCGCGATTTAAGCGCACAATCAAGGCTGCTCTCACGTCTGCGTCAATGTAGTTTCACATAAATTTTATTTGTGTGTATTTTGAAAATATTTTTAATTAGATTATCTTGTTTTTAATAGTTACTTTATTTTTTGATAATAATATTGTATTGTATTAATTGTACTTATTTATATTATGTCAGTTATGGCTTATTTTAGGTTATTTTTTATTTTTTTTTAATTTCTTTAGATCAACTAGTTTACTTTTTTTATGTTGTGTCCACATTTGCAGGCCGTGGCGACCTTTAATTGAGGCAGAATTTAGTATAAGTCTCTGTATCAATATTTCAACTTTGTTATATTTAGTTCATGTCTTGTTGGTTGTCCTAAAATAAATAAATAAATAAATAAATAAATAAATAAATAAATAAATAAGTATAAATATTTAAGAATATTGTTGTGACAGAAATTTAATTAAATACGAGGGATTATTAATAAATCACTAAATTATTGGAATGTGGAGTAGCGGTCACCGAACGCGTGCGCAGTTGACCTAGAAACTCCCGCGCCATCAACGCGCAGGTGATGTCACCAGTAGTAGTAAATCAACATTTTCATATGCGTAACGCGAACTGTGTAATATACAAATTGTTTACATTCTTGATATAATCTTTGGAGAGTTAGAGTTACTGCACATCAAAGACATAAAAAATTGGGTACATTACATACACGTAGCCATTTATTATATAATCATTTTTAGACTACAAATGTATAAATAATAAATAAATATTAGACATTAAATTTTAGTTAGTAGCAGTAGAGCTCCTTGTGAAAGAGTTCGTCCAGGAAAGTACTGCCACCTTACCTATTTCTGCCGCCAAGCAGTAATGTCAGCATTACTGTGTTCCGGTTTTGAAGGGTAAGGGTGCTGGTGAAATTACAGACACATGGGACTTGTCAATTTATGTCTCAGGGTGACGGGCACAGTGGCAGTGCCCCTCAGATCTTTGCAATTTAAAACTGACCCGGCCGGGGATCGAACCCGGGACCTCAGTGATGAAGACGCCATGAAAATCGGTGTGCAGGGCTCTAAACCTGGGAAGCCGTCAAATATTAAATATATTATGTACATTTTTTTAATGTAATAATAAATGCTTTAATTCGTCATTTATTTATAAACAAGTAACAGCAGGAAAAAGTAAAAAAGAAATATTAAACTGAACATAATTTTTAAGATAGTGTTAAAGAGGGATAAAATGCCTCAATAATTATTTTTTACAATAATAAATTCATCGTAAAAAGTGAATTTGTTCCTCCATGAGTGAGTTTATTCCTCTTTATTATGAAATGAGTTACAATAGAATAAAAAATATGAAGAGCTCTTTAATAAAGTTAAAATCAATGTAATATATGTACGTAAATGACGAACAATCTACGATAAAATAGAATACTCAATGTTGTCAAAAGAATGAAATTTTTTTAACAGTTTATGGCGTGATAAAACAGAACAATACATTTTCACGAATTTCAATAGAATTTCGTAGGATTTCTGATGAGTTTCAAAATAAGCAGAGTTGATAGTACCTGAATTTAGATGAAAATAAAAATTGATTTTAGATCAATCCGATGGCGTCAACACTAAGAAATTCCCAGGTCTATGCTTAATAACCAAGTATGTATTTTACATGTAGTAAATAATTTAGTTATTTGGGCATCTTTTCGATGATGCGTGGGTGAGTAGGTAAGCTGATAAGAGGTCACATCTGATCAAGTCGAGACATTAAGGATTGCAGACGCAGATGTATCGATCTTATGGTGTTGTGCGCACGCGTTTCGTAAACGCGAGTTCCCCAAATAAAAAAAAATGTGTATAGTGTTTAGCGCTATTTTGTTATAAGTATTAGGAAGTAGTAGAAGATCCTTAATAGAAAATATTAGTCTAAATAATTGAAGGCAGAGTGTCCACAGCTGATCGTTTGTTTACATAACGGCAAACTGAACAAACTTAAGTTTTTAAATTGGATATGATCTAATCGAGTTATAGTGTATGTTTTCGACGTGATAATTAATGGTAAAGTGAATCGAGGACTTGTGGATATAACAGGTGTACAATGGGGACAGTTAAGAGTAAATTGACTGGCTGCTGTCATTCTCCGTGTGAATGTTGCAGGAGAAGTAAATCAGACTCCAGCAACATCAGGGATTTACCACGGCCACTGCGTCTGAATGTCTCAAATGGTACGTACATCCTACGGCATGGGTCTTATCTGTAAAGACGGTATTAGGTGTTAATCCACCATATTAGCTATTATCATGGCAAAATGTGGACTAAATTATTTTATACATATCAATTTTATTTTATATGTGTATAACATCAAAAAAAGACATTTTCGAAAATAATTTGATCAAAATTACATATTCCTAACTTGTTTACGATATGATGGTTTTATGTCATAGATATTGCAAACAATAGACAAAAGTTAAGTACCAAAACATACTCACTAATAAATAAGGAAATTTGTACAATAAAAAATGCAGTTTTTCTTCGAAAATACGATTGAAAGGTCAATTTTGAAAAATGGGTAAGTGACGTCATGTCTATTCATCAAGTAACGTTTTTATTTATAATTTAATTTGTAAAGTTACGACACTTATTGAAAGAATTAAGTAAAATATAACATCTTAATATACAAAGACTACCTACCTGATTTCATTAAGTGACATTAAAATTAGAAGACACTCGGATTTGTCGCGCCGTTTCAGAGTCTTTTATATATTTTTCTACCTATACGCAATACTATAAAAGCTCATCAAAATAATGAGACAGAAAATCGGGTCAGAGAAACAAATAAACATCGCGTATAATTTACAGAAGTGGGATGTATAAATAGGTTATTGATGATGATGAACCTTTGATATTGGTTTAAAATAAAACGTCGAGGTGCCGAAATGACCGAACACGAAGTAGTTTAGTTTGTTAAAATAGTTAGGGCTGTGGTTTGACAAGGATATTCTTAGCAAGTGCATACATAGTGCACACATCAACAATTGTAACTGTGTGGGTGTATTCAGTTTACGTTTTACATATATGTAAAACCAGTTATGATTTTTTCTTCAATATAATGACATTCAATGCTGATTATAAGGTCTCTCCCAATGTATTCCATTTCTATTCAAAAATATGGTTTTACATTATAGTTCATGTTTGTGCCTACGTTAAACCTTGATTTATTTTAGCTGTTTCCAAAAATGTTGTTGATTATTTAAAGAAGTAAATATCCTTACACTTTGTTTTCATTAACTCGTTGTCGTCGCCACAAGATAAAAATCCTTTAACATTTTTATAATGAAGTCCTTGTTTATGTTCCAATTCTGTTTTTATGAACTTGAAAACTAATTACTAGACAATAACACCGGATAACCGGATTAGTAATACCGGGAAACGAACCCGGGCCCTTCTCATCTAGCGTCCATAGTGCTAATCTGAGCCACCGAGGTTGTCATAGTGAAACAAAAACTATATAAAATATTATTTTCCTTTATCTGCTTGAATGACAAAAATCCAAAAGAGCAATTATCGTTTTCACCTATGATTTATAAAGACAAGTGTGAACTACACTCGCGGACTGACAATTCGAGCCACCTTTCATTATTTTCTAAATGGCTTGAAAATGTTTGATTGATCAAAAATTATTATGCAGTTTTGAAATTGGTATACTAAACGTCATTTCTATAAGTCCTTGTTGAACATTTGAATTAGTAAAACCGGGATCTTTTTCTGCGTTAACAGTGTTTTTGTATTCTAGCGGTTTAAAAATACAAAGTGGCTGGAATTGTGTGTTATGATACTAAGAAAATATCTATCATTTCGATGATATATACAAAGATTAGTGTTTTTAATTCGGTTACGAGGGAGATGTAGAGCGCCTGCTCCAACTTCATGGTTCCTTCAGAAATGACACGTCTTAGAGTTCTTCTATATCTCGTACTAAGATGATTGCTTAATCCGCAGGATCGGAATAGGCAGATGAGTATAGTATAAAATATATTTACATAAACGTCAAGGAAATAATACACATAGAATGGTTAATATCTCCCTCTGAAATCTCTAAATTATTGATCTGTATTTTATTCTATATTTTGGATATGTAATTATCGATTACTTAGTACTGTAATGTATTTAGAGGAATAGATTGTAATTGCAAGTAAAAATATAACTATTTTGGTTTGATTTTCAACCGACTTCACAAAAGGAGGTTGTCAATTCATTTGTATTTTTTGTGTGTATGTTACGCGCTTTCTCCGACATTTGTGGATTGAATTCAATGATTCTTTTATTGTTGGATATCGCTCGGTAGTAACTCCATTCAAATTTATAGAAAATATTCTACCTCTACGAGTAGTTACACACGGCGGCTTTTAGCAACAATGCAAGCGCGATGCAAATTGTATTGCAATCGCCCATAAATCCCAAGTGTAGCGATGCAATCGCGCGTTTGTGTCGATGCAGTTGCGTGCTTGCTAAGCTTTTGCATCGCTGCTTAAAATCACGCGTGTGTGTAAGGTAGAAGATTAGCGACTGCATCGCTACTGCACCGCGTTTGCATCGCTGCTAAAAGTCACCGCGTATAACCGCTCTAAGGGTGGAAAATTAGGGGACGAACCTGGTTTATAGAATTTCACTCACTTTCCGTTAACCGATTTCAATAAACGAGGCACATAGACGTATTTCCAATGAAAATGAGGTGATGTTGTGACTTAGAGCCGTTTTGTTGATGGCAATGGCAGCAGCAGCTACCTTCTGTGGGCTTATATGAGTCGTTTCGATGAAGATTCCATATGCGTTTCATGCGCGTCTATCGTTGAGGAGACCGCGGTAACGAACAAAGCGAAAGCTAATAAGCAAACTATAAAAACGTTATGATTTTCATTTTCTTCTCCTCGTAGCGTCGTATATTTCATTACTGAGGTTCATGACTCGCCCTAAGAAACAAGCTCGGCATGAAGACGCTATGCTACCTGTGGAGGTCTTAGGCATAGTGGAGCGCGTCATGGAAACCCATGCCGAGAACCGTACATACTTGGTCCGTCGATCCGTCCGGCGACCATTAGTTGTTAGAGGTTGCGCCGTTTTTTCTTGGCAATTTGACCAACCTACCTTGACATAAGGTCTGGTCTGGACGTTAAGCTCCCGCAGAATTGAGTCGTTGGTGTGAAAATCAGTCCAATTTTCCAATTTTTCTTAATTTTAATTTTCTAATCATTCCAAGATATATAGGTTTACAGATAGGTTTTATCCCCTCACGTGTATTACTTGAAGTTAGTATTATAGTCACGTGTATTACTAGAACTAGAACCAGGAACTAGTAAAATCCCCAAAATAATGAAGCATCTTTTTATTTTAGGTGTAATTTGAAAATAAAAATGTATTAGTAGAAAATTAAAATAAAGGTGACAAAGTTTTATTCACTTATTAAAGTTTGATTTAATCAATGTAATACTGTCACAATTTTTTAAATTTTAAACTCTTTCTGATTTGTCATAAAGTCTAAGAAAAATTTATATTTTTAAACAAGGCTTTTTCCCCACAAAGATTGAGTAGTAAACGTTAATTCAGTCGCTACTTTATTTCTAATGATTATTTATTGAAATATAAACACTACTGTTTTACACTCTCACTTTTTGTTGCGCTAAATATGCTGGTGAGTGTATTTCTTCACTATGCAAGCTTTCTTAGGGGCACTTGGTGCGATCATCGGACGCTTGAGATTTTTATGCTTACTTACTCTCTTTTTAGCATACCGTCCACCACGTCTCCAAAATGCACACGGCGGTATTAATACTCTGTATTACCGTACTTTTAACCAAGACGGACGGAATTTGACAAGTAAATATATTATTCTGCTCTCTATGGTGTGATCGTCTTGTGCAGTAAAACTTGAAATAGCACTGAATTTAGGTTCAAGAGCACGAACATTTGTGCAATTATGTATCGTGTTTCTACAACAATTTCATTACGTTAATAATTCTGTTGTTTTCTTATTTATATTTCCTCAGGCTTAATTGTTTATACTAATACTTACATCCAGGGTGGAACAAAAATTAAAGGCCTTTTCAGATGCGTTATTCGCCACTGTGTGTAGCGCAGGTACTTCGAGAAGGTACACGGTATTCCCACTCTTCACACTTAAGCGGATATTTTGTAGTAAGATAAATATGTTATTTATAACGTGCTCTTCTTAGAAAATACTAACAGTGAGAACTATAGTAGAGCAGAAAGAGATAAATATAATCAACTTTACATGTATAAGGCTATTTATAGTTTGCATTTATATTTTTAAACAGGCCTACATAAGATTACATTTTTATAGTACTCTCAATATTTTAGTCAACATCTCAATGTTCGTCGTTAAGAACTTTGCTTGTTTGTATTATTTTATTACTTAGTCATAAAACTTGATTGACAAAGCAAGTCATATATCATCACTAATAAATAACATAACGTGTGTAAAAGTGAGCACAGTTCACACTTAAATTGATATAGTGACATAGTGATTTGCTATTCGACGGCTTAATAAAGAATTATAAAGGATATTTTTTTCTTTGTTATACTATCCAAATGTTTTTAATGTTAACTATGCGAAATGAATTCTAACTGTACTTCTATTAGTTATTTTAAGATTTAGCTTTACAAATCCGAGGGTGTGGATTCGTGAAGCACCATTACGCTGCACCCACTTGTTCAGTATGAATGTTCATGCCATTCCATACTAACTTACCATACTATAATTAGCTTTACCACGATTAAAGCGCCCGCGCTTTGTGCCTCTTTACCACATTGAAAGCGCCCGCGCTCAAACACACGTACTTACACGTATATACATACATCATGTGATACATCGCACGAACTACATCGCACTACATGTGATAAAAATGGAATAAACGAAATTAGAATAAATTAAACAACTTTAATAATAAATTGAAATCCGCTTTACATTCCTGGCGTAAAGCGGAAATTGAAATCCGCTGTGCACTAGAAATGTAAAGCGGATTTCTATTTGTTATTATTTACGATGTAGTCCGTGCGATGTATCACATGATGTATACATACGTGAAGTACAGTGTTTGAGCGGGGTTTTCATGTGGTAAAGCGGACAAAGGGATGGCGATGATAGTCATAAAAATAATACGAACTACATGAAACTAAATATGTGTATGTGAAATTTTATAACTGATAT